CCCTTTGCTCTGGTTTTCTGGGTTGAAATTGGATTCCCAGCTTCATCTCAAGGGCCTCCAAGCCCAGGGGCCGCCATAAACGTCAGAGTGGCCAGAAAGAAACCCCAGGAAAAGGCAGCCCCAGGCAGGGCAGGTCCTGTGGTGGCGAGCACGGCACAGGGAGGCTGCAGTGCGGGGGGCTGGGCTGGGGGAGGCAGCTGCCAGCTCGCTGCAGGTGGGTACCTGCCCCCAGGTTTGGTTATCACTAAGTGTAGGTGGTGCAGGTCCCTGCAAAATTCGGTCGCGCTGAACACCCATCAGTTTCCCACCTGATGGCTGAAACCGCGGTGCCAAAGCTTGCTTACGTAGCGACACTTGCGTCTGTGGGACGTTCCCTTCGCTGTGATTATGTCCTGGCAAATGTAAAACATCGCAAGTTTGGAGTAAAAACACTGAGTCTCCATCTAACGCAGCCTGGCTGGGCTATGGCACCGCGTGCACGGCCCCTGTTCACAGTGGTGGGTGCTCAGAACAAGCCCCGCGCACAGCCCCGCAGCCGGGCACCCCCAGCCCTCGGCATCGCTGCTGGATCCCCACTGCCGCCGCTGGCAACCCCCAGTGCGGGCGGTGCGGGGTCCAGGCGCGAGGAGCACCCAGCGCGGAGGAGGGCTGTGTCCGGATGCAGAGAGCTCAGGGCTGGGTCACGCTGCCAGCAGGACTTGCCCATCTAAGCCAAAACCCAGACATGAGATGAGAGGTGCGGCGAGAGGGGTGCAGAGAATGCACCCAGGCGAAAGCCGCAGGGGCAGAGCGGTGTCGCGTGCCTGCACAGACGCGCTGCGCTTAAACACCTTAAAGAGTTAGGGGCTACAGCCCGAGCGCTGCGGCGCCTCGCACACGCGTGCGTTTGCTGGGGCTGGCATCCTGTTGAAGCCTGCTGCCGGTCAGACTCAGATCTGCACACTGCGTAATAAGATTAATTAGATACGATGATTGCAGTTCATTTGCCTCACGCCCCAGCTTCTAAGCGCTGAAGTCAGGACAACCACCCGCCTGAATACCTGTAACCACATGGAAAAGTCCCTGCGGAACCGAGCAGCCCAGGTACCAGCTCAAAACCCCGAGCCCAATGTTTTAACCTCTTCCGCAGGAACCATGCCTTTCCAAGCATTTTTGTCTCACCTAAGGCATGTTTGCTTTCAAGAGGCTTGGGAGGCATTGCGCGGAGTATAAATCTGTTGGAAATCGGGGCTCTTGGCCAGTTAAGAGGAAGATGCTGCTGCTGCTGTGACCATTCCGCAGAAAGGCAGGAAACATTTTTCAGGCACGATGCGGATTCACAGTTGGATTTGACAATATAACACCTCTCATATTTCTACCTGCTCTCCGTGTCTTCCGGCACTCCCATCCCAAAGCACCATTGCCCCCCATCCCATCTCACCCCCCAGGCTGCTATTCAGCTGCCACGCGAGTTGTAGCCTGGCAGAGCCAGGGGAGAGACCCACAGCGGGACGCGGACAGCCCGGCGGGACGCCTGCAGCCGAGGGTGTTTCCAGCCCTCCCTCCATTTCTCAGCCCCTCTGGCAACACAGCCCCTACCTCCTCTCGGTGTTGACTGGCGAGAAAGTCCCCGTCCATTTATCAATGCTCTTTCTGTCTGGGAGAGCTCAGCTCGGGCCGGTGCTTCGCCGCGGTGCTGCCGCAG